TAATACAGAACTTTGAATAATAATGCATTTAAACTACAATACAGAAACGTATTTCCCGCACCCCTCAGAAGCAGTGCAAAGGCTTGGGGAAGTCAGGGGTAACAAACAAAGGAGCTGAGGGAGAGGGAAGTAATTGCTGGGAAGGAGCCTGGGAGTGAACCTGAAAGGTTGTTGGGTGTGGGTGGGAGAAATATGGAACAAGTTTTTTTGGGGGTAGGGGGAGGGATTGTTAGGGAGTTGGGGAGGCTGCCCCACACAGACCCGGGCTGACCCCTAGCCTCTCTCATTCAATCAGGCACATCTGCCCCTGTCCCCATGTGTCCCTGCATGCCTCTCGTCCACATATGTCCATGCACCCCACTCCCTCATGTGTCCCTGCACCCCCACTCAGCCACTCCTCTTCCCCTGTCCCCATGTGTCCCTGCATTCCCACTCAGCCACTCCTACCCTCCTGCACCCCCACTCAGACACCTTCCTCCCTTCTGTCCCCATGTGTCCTTGCACCTCCTGGTTCCCCTGTGTCCCTGCACCCCTACTCCCATTCAGCCCCTGGCTGTTACCGCAGTAGCTCCTGTGCCCCTGCCCCAATCTGTCCCTCTCACAAGCCTTTCTGAACACAAGACTATATGACCCTCCAGCAGCCCCATGTGCCCCACTCTGTCCATCCCCCACATATTCGGTTCTTCCTCACCTGGCCCCATGGTCCTCACCATGGCCCCAGGTCCTCTGCACCAGTATTCTCCAAAGATTCAGCTACTAGTCAGTAATCTTTGTCTCTCCATTGATGCCTAAAAATGATCAAGACCAAAGAAAAAACACAGATTTTGTAATAAATTACTTTGGGATGATCATTATGTTATGTAATATACATTATGTAACTTTGTGCATACATTTGTGGATTGATTCCAGTAACTTCTGGCTGCATGCGGACATCATAACTAGTGCCTCATTACAACTCTTTTGGTGTAATAAACAGAGCTGATAATCAATACCATAGAACCTTTCTTTTTTTGCTGATGATAGCAAATCAAGTTGAAGCACTCCTTCCATGCACAGTAATCTGCAACATTAAAAACAAATTAATCAGTATCATATTCTGAGCATTAACTAATAACACAGTACTGTCAGTTGATGGTCACAGTTTAATTATGTGAGGGCTGCATGTATTTTATTTGGGCATAAGCTTTCGTGGGCTAGAACCCACTTAATCAGATGCATGAAGTGGAAAATACAGGAGCAGGTATAAATACATGGGTTTGTCACGTTTGGTACCATTGTGTTCATGGGAGAAAGGGCTTTCAAATGATACCCAACTCAACCCAGTTCCAACAACATTATACTATCAACATTTCCTCCACCCAGAGGGCCTGGAGCTGAGAATGTGTGGTGAAGGCAGGGATTGAGTCCCCTTTGTTATGCTGCAGAGGGTGACACCATTGAAATAATGTTTTTGTAGATTTTTACAAATCAAATGACGCCACCTTACCTTCTATCATTAGCTTGCCAACAGAATTATAATGCTCCCAGATTGTAATATCATTAACAGGTTTCAGAGTAGCAGCCGTGTTAGTCTATATCCGCAAAAAGAACAGGAGTACTGGTGGCACCCTTCGGATGCATATGCATCCGAAGAAGTGGGCTGTAGTCCACGAAAGCTTATGCTCTAATAAATTTGTTAGTCTCTAAGGTGCCACAAATACTCCTGTTCTTTTATCATTAACAGGATATCCAACTAGATAAATCACTGGATCTGATCTGGTATATCCCTATGAAAACTGAACTTCTGTCACACACCAGAGAAACAACAAGGAGTCTGGTGGCTCCTTAAAGACTAACAGATTTATTTGGGCATAAGCTTTCCGAAGAAGTGAGGT